CTATTATAATCGTTACCCCAATTTTCAGTCCTCCTTCTTCCCCAGTATAACTTCCTGGCATTTATTCAGATGATTTCCCAAACTGGGTGAAGGGAGAATTTAAAATGCTAGTACCAGTCTATTGATTCCAGATGTGATGAAGGTCCCCGATTCTGTTTATTCCAAGGGTGAATGAAGAGCCTCATGTGCTTGTTCCTTGGTGCTTGGTTCTGCTCCTGTTGTCCTATACCAAATTGAATTACTGGTTCATGTAGCCCGCTGTCGTCTGCTCTGAATAGCAGGGGTTCTCTCCAGGGTCTTTGGCAAGGGTCTTCCCAGTCCTGGTGCCCGTGTTCCTCCTAAGTCGAAATATTGCATTTTGAGCTTGGGGCCTTTTGCATGCCAAGCATTCACTGCGCTATAGCACCTTCTTCAAACTGAGAGGATGCACAATTTGCATATGCTAATCGGCTGTGTGCATCTGAGCTCATACAGATCTTTGGTGTATAGGCATCAGCCCATGAACCTTACATTCCATACTCCAGCTCTCAATCTTTCAATTCTGTGATTCCCCAGGAGACCTTCTACTTCGCCATCTGTCAGGGTGAAACTCTCTGGCCAAGATGTATTTTTAGATAGAAAGAGTTGGGTTAAATTTTAGAATAGAATTGCAACTAATGTCGTGCATCCAATTAATCTAGTGAGCCACACATTTTCTTCTCTTTGCCCTGCCCCATTTCTTTCCTTATTTGTGGTCTGGTTAGTGTATAATATTTATGTGTGAATTTCATTGCAGCTTTTCTGTACAACGCCTACCTCCATTTCAGAGCTTCCGTATGACAAATACTAATAACTGTAATATTATTATAATATAATAAGAGCAGATACCTTGCAAAGGAGTTCATCCTTATGATGGAGCGTTGCTGGAACTTTGGAACCAAAGCTTATGAGTCCACAGGGCACAAGCTGAAATGTGGAGAAATGTTATGTCGGTTGTCAAAGCCACAATATCTTCTAAGGGAGGACAATGATAGCTGCTGGAATTCTCCTTTTTATTTGTAATTGTGCATAAGTACAGGTATTAAAGGTGTGTAAGGGGTTCCAATCCTTTCTTAGCTAGCATTGTTTGAATCTTGAGGCAAACCTGGCAGCAGCAGACAAGAAAAAACTCTTCTTCCCAGCACCTGTCAGCATGTACATATATTGTGACTTTCTTAGTTGATGCAAAAACATAAGAATGCAACAGTTGCCTTGATGGATCCAACAAAATTCTCTCTGGTGCATTGTTCTGCTACCAGTTGCTTCTGGGGTACTCCCAAGAAGAGCAACAGTCTGTAGTATTTGGAGAGGTATGTTGCTTATGTCCATACAGTGTCAGGACCTGAAGCCTTGACACAGATCCCCGTGGAGATGTGATAGTGAAGAGCAGCAAGGTTTACTGCACAAGTGCATCCAGGACCAGGCTCAGACCTGTGTAGGCACTTGTGCAAGTGTGCAGCTCAGCTGAGAGCTCTGGACGGCTTCCATGTGCTGCTCAGCTTGGCCAGGGCAATGCAGGTCCTTGTGGTGATTGCTCTGTGTCTCTGATCCTGCTTCCAGGCTCGTTTGCCCTTGATTGTGCCTTGGATTGTGCTTGCTTCCGACTCTGCTTTGTTTCTTGCGTGATCCTATCTTGTCAGGAACTTGGTCTTTGTCTTAGCCTCTAATTCTGGCACGTCTACCGTATCTGATCCCTGCCGGCTCCTGGTTTTGCCATCATCACTGGTTCTGTCATACTTTGTCAGTATCTGCCCGTTGCATGTTCCTGACTTCGTGTTTACTTCTGGTCCTTCTACGACTTGATGGTATCTGACCATGTGTTTTCTCTGCCTTCCTTTTTGGAGCTGCTGTGCTTTGCTAAATATTTCATTCAATCATAGAACAGTAGAGTTGGGAGAGGCCAGCGGGCCATTGGGTACAACTCCCTGCTCAGTGCAGGATTCCCAGTTAAACTATCCCTCTCGATGCCCAGTTGCATCTTGATGAATGTTCTGCAGTAAGGGAAAAGATGGAGGAAGCACTAAAAGCAGCTGACTTGTTTAAGGCCAGCTGGTGGTTGTGTTAGTGAGGGGAGCTGTGACTGGAGACTTGGTGGCTCTTTTTCCTTTCAGGCTTCCTGCGTACGACTAGGAAAGGGAATAGGAAAATGGGGCAGCCAAGTTGGTAAAGAAGTGTATGAAATAGTATGGATTTATGTAGAAGATTGAACAAAAGCGCTGTGGGGATTCTTTGCAAGTTTGACTGTCTAAGAAGCCATTGCACTGCCAGTTCCTGTCAAGTCCTGGGTTGCCTTGCAGGCTGAAAATTCAAGGTGAGGGAAAGGGAGATGAGTGCGCCTATCTTTCATCATCTTCCTTTCAAATGAATATTTAATAGGACAGATCAGGTGCCTGAGAGTGTGGAGGAACCTGTTGCGACGGAGCTGTTTTCCCAGCAGTAGCAAACAGCTGACAGAGGGCAGGTGCTTCACCTGGAAAGAGCCTTATGCAGAGACTTGCTGCAGGTAGAGAGAAGGTTGCTCTAGTGTGGATTGAGCAACATTTGAAATCTGAGGAAGTGAATATTTGCCCTCTTAGGTGACTACTTTTCCATTGCTCTTTACAGTGGGTCAGTTCTATAGCTATCTTTTCTGTGAACAGATGATCAGAGGAACGCCTGTGAAAAACACTGGGATGCAAAATCCCAGGCAGCCAGGCTAGGGGTGGCTCTTTGTAGTCAGAGCCCTGTGGCCAAACTGGGTCAATCTCCAGTCCTTTGAGCAGGTAAGACCCAACACAGGAGTAATTGTTCTCTTGTGCATTGTAGTACCAATGCAGCCTCCCATCCTCTGGATGGTTTATTTATTTGGGATCTTTGAAGAACTTCCTGCCAACTTTGCAGTTCGAAAGCATGCAAATGCAAGTAGATAAAAAGGTACCACTTTGGTGGGAAGCTAACAGCGTTCCATGCGCTTTGGTGTTTAGTCATGCCGGCCACATGACCATGGAGACTGTCTGCGGACAAATGCCGGCTCCCTCAGCTAGGAAACAGAGATGAGCACTGCCCCCTGGAGTCAGGCATGACTGGACTTAATGTCAAGGGGAAACCTTTACCTTTAACTTTACCTGAAGAACTGGGCTGAGACAAGTGGCAGTGCAGAGTAGAAGAGGGAGGCAAGATGGCGCTTCGCTACAGCCAGGCCCACTGGCCTCTTGTTGTGGGTTCTGTGCGTGTCACAGTGTGGCAGGTTGGCTACCTGTGGATTACACAGTACTGAGTGGTGCAGCTCAATAAGGTACCTTCTCCTAACCTTATGGGTTGATTCAGCTTAGGGTCTGGTCATCTATTACAGGGCTGCCATGGCTGCACCTTAATTAGGTTGGTGTCTCTTTCCTTGAGATAAATGCAGAAAGGGCAGACACGTGTCTGTTACGTGCTTTGTATACCCCTGGTTGGCACCACTTCCATGGTACGTCTGCCCTTTGTGCTTTATCTGTTCACTGGGGCAAACATCCATGCCATATAAATTGTGAGATGGTGGAGGGGCCATAGCTCAGTGCTAGAGCATATGGTTTGCATGTGAAAGATCCTGGGTTCAATCCTCACCATCTCAGGGAGGGGCTGGAAAAATATTTTCTGAAATCCTGGAGAGCTGCAGTCACTCGGTATCATCAGTACTAGGCTAGGCTCTGACTGTGTGTACAGCAGCCTCCTAGGTTCTTGTGCTTTCCCCATGCTCTGCCAAATTAATGCACTCCTTTTAATTGATTGGCTGATTTAGATTCTGCCTTTTTCCAGTAGAACTCATGCTAAAGCAATGTCTGTCGCAGGAAATGGTGGCTGGGCATCTGGTTCCCACCAAGCCTCCTGTGAATATTTTGTAGTTGAACCCTAGTCCTGAATGTCACCGTGTTTCGTAAGTCTAGCATACCTGCAGCAGCCAGGGGCTGGGACATGAGAGAGCTGTGATACCAGAACTTCTCTAAGTTGTGTAAGACACAGTGCAGGGGCCTGCGGGGAGCAAGGCTCTGCTGCTTTGGGCACCCAGATGCATGTTTATCATAACATCTGCTTTGAGCCTTGCTTGCTTTCTTTACCAGATTCTGCTCTTTCAGGGTAAAGGCTCACAGTCCTCAGCTTTGAGCTTGGCTTCCAGTGTAGGACTTCCTTCCTTCTGTCCATCCGTCCTTTCCTTCCTTCCTTCTTTTTGGCAAGGTTTTATCAACAAGTACAAACACTACAGAAAAGGTTGTAGCAAAACAAGACGGCAAAAGCGTAAACTTGATGAAGTCAACGAAGGCCACATGGAAGCAAATTTTCCTCTCTGGTTCTGACAGGTTAATAGAGTCTTACCCACTGACCATGTTAGCTTTTAAATTTCTTTTAGAACTCATAAAGCTAGGGTGTGAAAACTGCTGAATCACCTTTCACACTCCTCCCCTTTGGCACATTTCCGTTCCCCTCCTCCCCTCAAGGGCTGCTTCCAGTATGGTATGATCTTTCTCCTTGCGTGGCTTGAAAAGCAACTGTACAAGAAGTGGACAGAAAATGGCTGCTCCTTAGCTTTTTGGAACACACAGGGCCCTTGCCACTGCATATGTCTGGACATTCCCAGACCACCTCTGCCATACCACTTCCTGCCCTTCCCAGGAAGTTTAACTCTTTCGTTCTCATTCCCAGGACAAACAAATCCTAAGCATGTTAAATCCATGTGCCTTCACTCACCGCCCTTACTTTTCCCACTTATTTCCCTCCTATTCCCTCCCACTGTAGACTTTCAAACTTAAAAATGTGAGATTGTTTACTCATTGGGTTCAGAGACTGTTTGGGAGTTTAGTCTATGCAGAGCTCTGTAGCATGATGATATTATACACATCATAACCTCGGAACAGCCCTAGTCCATGGACTACAACAATGGATGCTGTGGTCTGATATCGTTCTAGATTACAGGTGACACACCAAACGGAGTCTCTGACCTTTCTTAAATTGTGTGTGTGTTTCAGATTATCCTATCAAAGAAATGATGATGATGAGGAGGAAGCTGCCCGAGAACGCCGCAGGCGGGCACGGCAGGAAAGACTGCGACAAAAGGAAGCTGATGAGCCACAGGGACAGGAGAAACCTGAAGTCAACGCCCAAAACAAGTAAGTCTCAGCTCTGTGAACAGCTCCAGAAATCATTTCAGCCTGCCTACTAAAGCAATTCGAGTAGAAGAGCTGAACCATTTACTGCTGCTCCATTTTAACATGATGTTCTGTATTGCCCACCTTTTCAAGTGAGGGGATGATCCAGGGGCAGCTGGGCAGCATCAGTTACCTTGCTTGAAGAGTGTACTGAGAGCAGTGGCATGGGCTGCTCAGCCTCCAGTGCTCTCTGCTAATGAGGAGAGTGATCCTGCAATGTTGCCCTCAGAACCCCATCCATGCGGAAGAGAGAGATGCACCCAGTTCATTACTGAACACTGACTTCAGAGGACAGTTTAGGAGACAGAAGCTGAGTGCAGTCCAAGAGATGGAAGTAAGGGTTCACTGTTCTCACATCAGGATGAGCAATCTAAGGAGGGAGCTTCTTTGCAGAGCAGAAGTGTGGGGCTGCAGCAGCGGGCCTCTATTCCTATTTATCCATGCTTTCTTTCGAATAGAGTGGGGAGCAGGACCTGCAGGACAGGTGTGCTCGGTTGGGCAGCTGACGAGCGCCCACAGCTCATCGGGGGCCCAGTGGCAAGATCCCCCTTCTTCTTCACCACGGCAGCCTGCTTGCTCCTCCGGCTCCTGCTTTGGTTGTTCAGAGGGGCAGTGGCAGCGGCGGCTGCCACGGTGAAGTTGCTTCCTGCCTGTCAAGCGAGCCAGTGGTAGCGCCGGTGAGAAGGGGAATGCAAAGCAATGGCAGACGGTGATGCTGGCAGTGAGAAGGGAGGCTGGCCGCTGAGATGTCTTGCCCAGGGGCCCTCCAAAACTTGGAACTGTTAGTGTGGGAACTGAACCATCGTTTTGACTTTCCCCTGAACAGCAGGGGTCCCAGGCATGAGTTCAGGTGGGTACAGATCCCTGGCATGTCCGGTTGGAAACGAATCCAGTTCAAAATGAGAGCTGGCATGGCGTAACAGTGAGAGTGTCAGACCTGCACTATTGGGCATGTGTTGGGCCTGGATGTGCCTGTGTTACAGTGCTGGGCCTGGACGAAGGTCCAGCTTCTAGTCCAAACCAGGCCATAGGGTACACTGGCTGACTCCAAGCCAGCCATGGACTCCTGCCCTAACCAACTCCCCAGGGGTGGCGTGAGACTAATATGGAGAAGAGGAGGGTTCTGTGAGCTGCTTTGGGTTCCCTGCAGGAAGAAAAAGCTGGGATATAAATAATAAATTCAAAACATCTGGTAGGAAATGATGTGAAAGAGCACTGCATGAAAGGCAGCTTCTTGTGTACCTCAGGGTAAGGTCACCCCAGAGTATTTGTTGAATTCTAGAGGTCTTTGTAGGGGTGGAAGGTGGGAATGGGGGGCACAGAAATCATTAAACATATTCTGTGTCTGTCTTATGCAGCATAGCGGAAGAAGACAATAAAAGTACCATGACTACAGTTACCACCGTTACAAATACGCAAGTTGATGCAGATGATGATGCGGTGTTCTTGGAGAGGCTGGCAAAGAGGGAAGAAAGGCGCCAGAAACGTCTTCAAGAAGCCCTGGAGCGCCAAAAGGAATTTGACCCAACAATTACTAATGAGAGTCTGTCATTCACCCGCAGAAAAGTGGAGAATAATGTTGAAGAAAACGAGACCCCAGAAAAAGAGAAGGTGGAAACCCACAGAAGACACTATGAGCTGGAGGAAACTGAAACCATCACCAAATCATACCAGAGGAATAACTTGAGGGGAGATGAGGAAGATAAGAAGGATGAGGAGGGCAAAGCAGAGGAACAAGAGGAGAAACCAAAGCAGAGAGCCATAGAAGATAATCAGGTAGAAGTAACTTTAGAAAAGAAAACAGCAGACAGTGGGGAGGAAGCTGTCACTGTCAAAGTCCAACATCTTGATGGAAACACAGATGAGCAGAACATAGAGAATGACACAGGTGTTCTGGCAGACAGTGGCGGGGCCATAAGCATTACAGTAGCCTTTGAAGAAAAGAAGGTTAAGGAGGATGGGGATGAAGCAGAGAAACAAAGGACAGAGGAGAAGCAGAGGCTTGAGCAAGAGGAAATGGAAAGAGTTAAAGCAGAGCAGGAAAGAAAAGCTGAGGAGGAGAGAGAGAGGCTAGCAGCTGAGGAAAAAGAGCGGCTAGAAGCAGAGAGAAAGGCAGCTGAGGAAAAAGAGCGGCTAGAAGCAGAGAGAAAGGCAGCTGAGGAAAAAGAGCGGCTAGAAGCAGAGAAAAAGGCAGCTGAGGAAAAAGAGCGGCTAGAAGCAGAAGAAAAGGAAAGGATCAAAGCAGAGGAAGAACAGAAAGCTGAGGAGGAGAGAAAGAGAATAGAGGCAGAGGAGAAAAAAGCTGCTCAGGAGAAGGAGAGGCGTGAAGCTGAGGAGAGGAAAAGGGCTAAGGAGGCTGAAGAGAAGAAGGCAGCTGAAGAAAGAGCAAAGGCAAAGGAAAGAGAGAAGAGGGAGGCTGAGGAGCAGGAGAGAGCGAAAGCAGAGGCTAAGAAGGCAGCTGAAGAAAAGGCTAAGCTAGAAGAAGAAAGGTTAAAGGCAAAACAAAAGGCTGAGGAGAAAAAGGTAGATCAGGTTAAAGGGAAGAAAATAGAAGAGAAGAAGACAGAAGGCACACAGGTAAAAGAGAAGAAGGTACAAGAGGAAAAATCCACAGCTTTTCTAAAAAAACAGGTACAGTAAACATGTTGCACCCAATCAGTTTTTGCCTGTGTTTTGTTGGAAATGTAATGCATTTTACAAAACAGACAAATGAAACTGGATTGGAATTTGCTCACAGTATTCTCTCCACACTTTTGTCTACTAACTCTTGCCAGGGTTGGTTCCTTTTTGACCTTCAGCTTCTTGCTTTCCACCTTTCCATGACTTGGTTGGTGCATGTGTCCTTCCTTTTTGGACCTTGGGCCTTCTCACAGGAATTCGTGCATGTTCTGAATCCCTCACGCTTTCCTCTCCTTTTTTTCTGTGGCCGTAAATAGACCAAGGGCAGCAGCCAAATGCGTACACAAGGTATGAAGGCACAGCATGGGCTGAGGACGAGCACCCAGCAAATTTTTATGGTGCGGCTGCTGAATACGCATCCATTGGATATTAGAATCAGGCACAGTCAGAGCTCTGCTGAGATATGTGAGAACGCGGGCACGTCAGAGTGAAGGAAAACGCGCACATGTGCAGGAGGAATGTGGAAGTCACTGTGCTACCAAGAGGGAGTTGCGTGCACAGCAGCAGCGGCACAGAAGGAGGGGTATGTGAGCACAGCTTTGTTGCGGCTGCAAGAGATGTTATAGGGTTTGCCATAGATCTCATGTTTTCATCTTACAAAAACATTGCACAAAGGGGGAAGAGAAGTTGGTTAAAGTGGAAGCTAAAAAAGGAAAACTACAGGATGAGAAACTTCAGCCGGCCTTCAAAAAAGAGGAGGTAACTATTACTTGGGGAAAGGGGTGTGTGTGGAAAGTGGAACCAAGTGGCCCTGCTTTCATATCTTCGTAACATTCTCTGATGAGTTGTTCAGCAAAAATCTAAGGCCATACATGCAACTTGACATGGATGAACAGGACTTATTCCTACCGGCAGTCATAGAACCAGACATTTGCCAGAAGCAAAGCAGAAGCTGAGCCAGACCTTGTGAAACTGGCTTCATGGAGAAGCAGGCCTAGGTTATTTCAGCTAGTCGTCCTCCATGCTACAAACTAAACATACCCTTAAAGTGAATCTGAATGTATAATGAAACAATTAGATAACCATTTTATTGCATAGTCTGCTTCAGTTAAGGTCAGTTTACACAGCACAGCCCATGAGAATTGGTCCTTTGATAGGTTAAGGAAGCATTTGGTGTTATGTTTGTAAACTGGCACCAACTCATTGTTCTTTCCTGAATTTCTCCCTCCACCTCATCATGACTTTTTTTCCTGGGATTTGATGATTTCTTCTTTAGATACTCCAAGATGTCTTTAATCTGAACCCAACTAATGGTTTTCCATTTCATAATATAAAGTGTGCAGACTCCAGATTCTTATTTCTTACTTGAAAAAAGAATGCTTATGAAACAATGCATTGCATTTCTACTGTAAACACAGAAGTTGGTGCTAAGGTGTTCTACTGTATGGTAAGTAAAAAATTATGGGTTAAATCCAAGATATTTCAAGTGGACTTCCATGTGCATCATAGAGTTCCCCTTCCCCTCCTCCTAGCAGCCCCTAAAGCCCACTTCCAACCCCCTGGTGTGGATCAGGAGAGGGGGCATGTGGGTGGTTTTACAGGGGAGATAAAATTCAGTCCGCCAGAATGTCTGTTCTACTGGAGAAAGACAACCCATTCAACCTATACAGAGTTGGATGAAACATTCATGCAGATTGTATTTTAATTTCACACTTGTGAATCACTATGTGAACTGAAACTCATTTATCATTCAACATTTGCAACAGAGTTCTCCCATCAAAAGATGAGTAGAACAGTCTAAATTGGGGACAGTAACAATAACAAAAGTATGCTATTAGGAAAATCGCTTGCAAAAATGTGTCTACAGGGGGAAATCCATACAAAAATGAAGTATTGGCACACACACACACACGGACTTTCATGCAAACCCAAAAAGAAAAAATCTCAGCAGTTTGTGATGGGCCAAAGTTAAGTCTGGAAAATGAAGAGAAACTAGAGATTCATTCATCTCTAGGCCTAATGCATAGTTCTCAAACGCAGGGCTCCCTCAGCTGGTGCTTTGCAGAGAACAAAGTTTAGGTTTGGCTTGAGTTCCTTCGTCACTGAGCAGAGTGAAGCATTCGTTCGGGTCATTTTGCATTTACCCCACTTGCCACCCATGTGCTTGGTTGGATGTGAATTGGTTAGAGGGGTGTGATATACTGCTCGATTAATCTGGATTTAGAAATTCCTTTTGTGTTGAAGCCATTGACCCAGTGCTCCAGAATGTGGGTATTCCTGGTGGCCACAGCCGCTTTCATGGCCTTGAGACCAGCTGCCTCGTTTGGCTGGCCCAGATCGGCTGCACCTCTAGCAGGGACTCCCTTGCCAAGCTGGAGCACTGCTCTATTGGTCAGGGCAATTGGCCCATCCTGTGCCATCCCCTGGAAGGAAATGTGGGGCAGGGGTGAAGCTGCCCAGGCCACTGCGATGGCTGTGGCACGTCCACCACAGCCTCATCTGGGGGTGCTTTGGCATAGCCATGTCCTCCCCAAGAGTGTCTGGAGCGCTGTTCCTGCTGCCAGCTCAGGCGAGAACCATTCGGCTTCCTGCGTCCCCTCAGTGGGAGAAGCATGGCTCAGAAGAACCCCCACACCTTGGCTGGATGCTCAGCACAAATGCAGAAGCATTCGTGCAAGAGTTCAAGTAGTGCAGTGGCCTCCAGGAAGGTTCTTCTCCGTCCCCACCCAACCTGCTCCCCAGGTACACCAGTCATCTCTTAAACATTGTTTTTCTTTTGAAATGGTGGTCATTCCAGTGATGCAGCTCATATCTCTTATCTCTCTGTTTGTGCACAGATCTCTGTGTCTATGCATATAGTAAAGGGTGATGTTTTAATTTCCGCGCATTTTAGTGGAATAGGCTATCAAGTTTCTTGTTCTGAATTGCGATTAGTGTGTGTGTCTCAGTTGAGGGGTAATTTGAGAAATCATTTTTCATCGGATGCGCATTTGGAGTACTCAGTCCAGCATTGCCCCATCAATTAGCTGTGGCTCTCCAGAGGTTCAGGAAGACAGTATTTCATAGTGGTGCTAGCTACAAATCAGACCTTGGCTTCCATTGGTATCTAGCAGTGATATCCTATTTTGCGTTAGAATAGCTGCAGGAGACCTGATCTGGATTGGTACCCTAGGTTAAGGGGGGGGGGGTTAGGATCTCCATTTTCCAAATCGTACTCCCCTTATACAAATCTTTGGTATGACTGCACTTGGAATATTGTGTTCAGTTCTGGTCACCTTAGTAGAAAAAGGACATTTCTACTAAGTCGGAAAATGGTGCAGAGAAGGGCAAGAAAAATGATCAGGGGGCTGGAGCAGCTCCTCCATGAGGACCAGCTGCAACAACTGGAATTGTTCAGCTTAGAAAAAGAGTGAGGGCAGACGGGACAGAAGCATTTCAAATAATGCTTCCTCTCCATTAACACCTGAATGCAGGGTCATCCCATGAGGCTGATTGCTGGGAGGTTTTGGACAGATAAAAGGAAGTAGTTCTTCCTACAACACGTAGTTAAACAGCAGAACTTGCTGCCATGGAAAGTGGACCTGGCCACCAGTTTCAATGGCTTTGAAAGGGGATTGGACAGCTTCCTGAGGAAGGGGGCTATACTGGCTACCAGCCTTGCTGGCCATTGCTGCCTCCTTACCAGAGGTGGCATGCCTGCATACGCCAGTAGCTGAGGATCTGGGCAGGCAGAAATCTTGCACCCATCCTGCTTGAGGGATCCCGTGGGCAGCTGGTTTGCCACCATGTGTACAGAGTGCTGGACTAGATGGACCTTTGGTCAGATCCAGCAGAGCTGTTCTTGTGTAGGTTTGGGGCTCTGTACTCAGAAGTAAAATGAAAAGGGGATGTGGCTGCTAGAAGCAGGTTTAAAATAATATCCATTTTGGCTGTGAGTTCCATCCAGGGGGAGATTCCAGGTGCAGGGAGAGGTACCTGTCCGTCAGTGGGAGAGGCCTTGCTTTGCATGTGTGAAGTTCCAGGGAAGAAACTGAGCCTGCATCATGGAGGAACTGAGCTTCCCACTGGGGAAGACATGGGAGAGTAGGACGAGAAAGACCAGGGTTCGGATCCTGACTCAGCCATGAAACCAACTGGATGACTTTGCCACATGCATGCAGTCTAAGCCAACCACCTTACAGGGTCAGAAGGGTGTGTGGAAAGGAACTGGAACCACACATGGTGCCCTGACCTTGGAGGAGGAGTGGATTGGGTGTGTATCCCTGTGTATCTGAACTATAGTCCTTCTCCAAGTCACTTGAAGTGACTGTATAACATCCTAGCCCCATAATGGCCCTTACGAGAAGGTGATATTCTGGTCAGCCCCTATCCTGAAATAAGGAAGGAAATACTGCCTGTTCCTTGCCTTCAGGGGATGATCTGTGCAGCAGGCCTGACAGTTTGCAAAAAGCAAACTTGTTAAGGTGAGAAGAGGTTTCAGTTCTTCTGAGCCTACTTCTTGCTGTTCCATTTGTAATTTGTTTCATGCCCGAGAGACCGCTTGGTTCTCAGGACCACCTTAAGATTCTGCGTGTGCAGAGCTGGCCTCCAAAGTTTGCATTGAAACCAGCTTTCTCATGACATGAGATTTGTGGTATTTCCTGCTTCCACTTTGGCTAGACATACTGCGTGAACAGCAGGTTTCTTTTTTCCTTTTTGGTTTGCAGAGTTTCCCCATCCCCCACCCCTTTTATTTTAAATGCTGTTATGTTTACAAGAAGATAATCCCGTAGCCCAAACCCTGTGTCCCCAAACACACATCACTCTTTCGGAACATTCACATTTAAATCTAGAGGCAGGATTCGGATGATCTAAAGCAGAGTTCCCCAGTCTGGTGCCCTCCAGATATGTTGGAAATGCTGCTCTTTCCAAAAGTCCCATCCAAAAATCTGTATAGGGAAAACGGAGTTCATAAGAAAGGGGTGGGAGAGAAGTGCCCAGGCCACTCACTGCCTGCTGCAGCAGAGGCGCTCCAGCCTGGTGCAGAGACCATGCTGAATTCCCTTGCAAAGTAGCTTGGAGAGGTTATGTTGGAATATAAAAGGTGATGGATTTATATTTATCGTTTGCTGCCCTGAACAGAGAAACATAGAAACGGAGCAAGTCACCAATGGGGCCTCAACCACCTCCCGGGGAAGCCCATTGCACACCCTCGGGGTCCTGACTGTCAGGAAGTGCTTCCTGGCATCCAAATGGAACCTTGGCTCCCTGAGCTTTGCTCCGTTGGAGCGCATTCTGCCTTCCTCTGCAGGGGAGAACAGGTCTCTACCCATCTTCATGTGACACCCCCTCACATACCTGTATGTCGCCTACATATCCCCTCTGAGTCTCCTCTTCTCCAGGCTGAAGAGACCCAGTTCCCTCAGTCTTGCCTCATACGGCTTTCCCTGCAATCCGGCCACCATCCTTGTGGCCCTGCGCTGCACTGACTCTAACCTGGCTATATCCTTCCTGTAATGTGGAGTCCAGAGAACATCAACATAGAAATAATTTTAATGCATAACTAAGAGGCTGTGGTGGTGTGCCAGTGCTCTGACCTACCTTTAACTCGCCAGTGGAAGGCTGGCAGAGACGGTCTGGGTCTTGTTTTTCAGCCCTGTGACCAAAATAAATGAGCAGTACATTCCTCTAGAACTTTCCACATTTGGTAGACCCAGTCCTCCTGTCCCAAAGGTGTTAGGGCTGAAAACAACACAAGGTATTGGACTGAACCCAGACTTGGTCATGCCTAAAATGGGCCCATTAGGTTGAACCCACAGTACAAGCTGACCGACGGAGAACAGAAACAGCTTGCAAAATGGATTTTCCCTCCTCTCCTGTACTGCCCCCTCATCTGCTTTGGAGGATTGAGAGATTCTTTGGATCAGATTTGGGGGTGCCTAGGGAGGCTGCATGGAGGAGGAGAGCAAGAAGTCCTTCAAACTTTGGGTTTGAGCCATGGAAATGGATAGGACTGCCATAAGCTCCATGGATTTCAGAGTGTCAGCTCATGAGTTAAGTCGAACACTTTTGGAGGGATGGCGGTGACTCAGTTCATTCAGGGAAGAGTGCTTGTATTTTTGTTCCCTGCTCATTTCAGCTTTTTGTTGGCTGCCGGTTTAACTGATGTTCTTCATGGGAATAATTATTCCTTCAGAGCAGGAGAGATTTTTGAATCCTGTGTTCTGCACAGTTCCAATTAACATCCAGCCTGACTCAGCGTGCTGGAGGGTCAGGCTTTCAGGGGCAGCCGTCAGTGATGCTAATCCCAGAGATTTTCTGGGTGGGGGACTGGAAAGCAAAGACAAATGTGCAGAGACGTTGCATCTGGGCTGAGATGCTGCCAAGCCAGAATTTGCTGGAAGAGAGGGGAATTCTAGGCTTCTCTTGTCCTTGGGACTGGAGAGCAGCCTATGTATTAGTTCTTGCTAACTGTTTTCACAAAGTGCATGTAGGTAACGGTGGAATGATGTCTGCCTGAGCTCCTTTCAGCAACATGGAGTGCACGGCCTCTGCCTGCAGCCCAGGCAGCCGGAGTTTGTGGCTGTCCTTCACGGGAGCAGGAGAGCCCGAGGAGCACCGTGTGGGCTTGTGTGCAGATGGCCACCCCCAAGGCCAAAAAAGCCCAGCGGAGAGCACTAGCCAGGCGTGAGGCAAATGCTTCTTCCGACATCTTTACCCTTTTCACACCATGGGAAGTTTGGGGAGGGGGGACCGGAGATACGTGCAAAAGTTGTTGAAGCCTGTGAGGCTTCTGGTATCTCAGAGGCTTCAGGCAGTGGATTGGAGCCCTGTGCACCGGGGATGCCTGGAGGTCAAAGAGTGTGCCGGCTGCCACTGCATTCGGGAGCTGCTGTGCCGTTCCCCTTGCCAGGAGCACGAGACACATGCTGCTGCAAAGGAAGAAATTGAACGGCTGGGAAGGAGATTGTAAACCCTTCCTAAGCCTGTGCCCCCCAAGTTCACCTTCCCCTCTGCAAAATGTCAGAGAACTTTCTGCTGTGGCTTCCTTGAGCAGGATGGCCCAAGAATCCAGGCCACATTTTGCCAGTTTGGTAGACTTGTGAGAAATCTACCCTAAGACATGGTGGGAAACAGGCAGGCAGGGCTACCTTTATCCTGTACCATACATGCCAAGGCCGCACGCAGCCTTTTCTGCCTCCCTCAGTTTTTAAAAGGATTTTTTGACAATGTCTTTTAATAAGTTAAATTTGCAGTTTTAAGTCTCTGTTGCTCTTAAAGTGTCGAATTTAGTTTGCAACAAGTTAAATTTAACTCCTGCAGCACTTTGGAGTGAGTGGTGTGTTTTCCTTTTCTTTTAACCTGGTCTGGCCTGTGGAGAAAAAGCAACCACAGACCCCAGATATCCTGTTATTGTCCACTGTGCACTAGAGTGTCCCCACCTCATTCTCAGGACTTGTGGCATGTTACTGAGTAGGTTGGCCAACCGTGTGCTTGGTCCCCTGGTGACCGAGCACCATTGCTTTAATCTTCGGGGATACCTACGACCCTGCATAAAGCAAAGATGCTGCTGGAACCTTGCTCGAGGCCTATAAAACCATCTGCAGAAGAGAAATTGCTTAATATATGTGTATTGGCATTAGGAAATGGACACCTCCCGCTACTCCTTCCAAATGTTTGGATTTGACTTGTAAAATTTTACCCTCTCTCTGGCAGGTAAAAGACAGCAAGGTAAACCGAGACAAAGCACCCAAAGAGGAGGCAAAATCCATCTGGGATCGCAAGAAGGGAATTCCTGAGTCTAAGCCACAGAACGGGGAGCGTTTCCCTGAATTCCCTGCTCATAAGCTGAAGCACACAGAGAATGCTTTTAGGTAAGACATTTGCTCATGCCAGGATGTTTATACTTGGCCCTATTGTTGCCTTTTATGGGTCTCAGTTGCAATGCAATGGAGTGTGCCACCAGGAAGATTGAACACATGCTTTTATGGAGAGACTTGAAGTGTTTCTTGCTTCGGTACATCTGTAACGCATGCATAATATTTCTGTTCACTGCAACACCTGTTTTCATGACAAATGATTCCTCTCTGCTTTTGTCAGCCTGGTGACGGCACATCTGTGTCCATAGGGCATTTTAAATAGTTCATCAAATGCCCTGACATTCATTCCTGCAGTCTTCTTATTTCTCTCCTCCTGGACATCTTGCAGTCAGCTTCTCTCTGTTATTGCCTGTTACCCAAGCTCAGTTCTGTTGCTCTGCACTGTACTGGAGCAATTTTTTTTCAGTCAGGGAGTAGGCATACTCTCCTCCAACATTTAGAAAATGAAGTGCAGAGTTACAAGTTAGAATGCCCTAGATCTGATGCAGGTTGTCAGTCCCATGAACTGAATGTTGGTGGAAACTTACTGAATCATAGAATAGAATTATAGAATAGTAGAGCTGGAAGGGGCCATGAAGGCCATTGGGTCCAACCCCCTGCTGTTGCAGGACACCAAGTTGCACCATCCCACTCAGATGGCTCTCCAGTTTCCTCTTGAATATCTCTAGTGTGGGAGAGCCCACCACCTCTCTAGGCAGCTGGTTCCACTGTTGCATACTGGGTGCATGAGTCTTTCTCTCTCTGCAGAATTTCCCATTTCTAGACTGCATAAGACCGCAGAGTGGCAGCAGAGTAATACAGTGGAAGCCCCATTAATTGAACCTTTTGTATGCAACAATTCATCCAAAATTTTCTAGGCCCCTTTTGCAGCAGCATCTGAATATGTAATCCTTTGAAGTTCACAGGTAGTTCTATCCTAATTGTTGGATTAGCAGACTGCTTTGTTTTAATCACCCCTTCTTTTCCCTTGTGGCATTTCAGTAGAGGAGATGATACAGTAAATGCTACTCACAGGCCTCCTTTTGTGTAAAGCTGAAGCTATTTAGGCTTGCAAAGGTGGCCCCTGAAGCTGCACAAGTCTGCAAACCCAGACCATGAATGTTTGAGCCATACTAAGCTGCAGTGTGAAGAAGTTCTGAGGCGTGCAGAGAATACCGTGTTTGGTTTCCCATGGTTTCAGCTTAAATTGATCCCTGAGGCATATTAAGATAAAAAAATTCAGCAATAAAATACTATGCATTACAACATTAAAACTGTTACTATTGTTATGCTGCTTCTCAGCCAAAAAAAGGCTCCCAGTGCAGCTTGCATGTAATAAATTAAACAAGGCAGTTCCTCTGCATGGGCTTACAATCTAAGAAGACACAACACACAAGGAAAGAGGGATGGGGAGGGACGATGAGAAGAACTTCTTTCAGTGGGGTTGGTAGAATGGCCCTGTTTTTAACAGGGAAGAGCTTTCCAAACGATGACACCCCACTTGCATTCTGAAGGTGGTCCTGTCCAGAAAACCGCACAGCCTCCACCTGCTGTTTTTCATCCTATTAATTCTGATAAGCCAGAGAAACTGTTGTCATTGCAGCCTCTTCTTCATTCTTTCCTCCCTCCCTCAGCCGCCCAGGCTTCAAAGCTGCCTCAGATGCTGAAGAAGCCAAGACAGTATCCCACCCAGAGGCTGGCAAACGGGTTGAGGAGCTACGCCGTCGCCGAGGCGAAAACGAGAGTGAAGAGTTCGAGAAGCTGAAGCAGAAGCAACAGGAGGCGGCTGTAGAACTGGAGGAGCTGAAAAAGAAGCGTGAAGAGCGCCGGAAAGTCCTGGAAGAGGAAGAGCAGAGGAGGAAGAAGGAGGAGAGTGAAAGGAAAGCTCGGGAAGAGGTAACAGGCTGCCAAGATAGCTGCTGGCTACATGCAGGGCATGCATGATGAGAGTCCACCCGTTGGTGCAGTCAGGTTGGAAGCTGCCTCATACTGAGTCAGAGCATTGGTGATTCTGGCTCACTGTTAGGCATGCTGGCTGGCCGTGACTCTCCATCGTTCCAGGCAGAAGTCTTAGCCCTGTCTGGCAGCATCAGCAGCTGCACTTCTCCATGCAAAGCTTTGCAGTGCAAAACATCATATTGCACAACAGCCTTTCTCCAGAACTCCCTTCCATGCACATGTTCTACACAGAAGGGTTATTCATGTTGGACAGGGTGGGGAATATGCAGATCATCAGCCACATGTGCTCCCTGGATCCTGGGCCGCCTGTGGGTTCCTAGCAACTCTGCCGGAAAACCAGGTTCAGGGGGAGCTCACGCCTTGTTTCTCAGTAGAACTGTGCCCCCTCTCCAGTAGCAGCCATTTGGCAGACTGCGGGAGCACAGAGAAAGAGGGCATGCATTCCTCACATACTTGGCTCCTGCTGGGAAATGGCATGGGGAAAGTGTGCACCTTTGTTTCCCAGTGGAATATCTGGGAATCTGGACATTGGCCATATCCCATGACAGGGTAGTTTTTTTCTGCGGTCAGGGAAGATGTATTCCTGGAACAGGAGTTCCAGGAATCCAGTGTGTCCCTGCCCCCCAGCTGCCAAAATTGCCCATCCTTGACTTAGAACATTGCCGTTCCTGAACTGGACTACATCTGCTTTCAGATTTTTAAGCGGTGAGTAATGGAATCCTCTGCAGGTTGACCTAACAGTCACTTCCCCTGTGCCCATTTGGGCTTGCTCATTCGTGTATGTGTGACGCATTTCACCCAACGTCTTTCACGTGCTGCATTCAGTAGGAACACTCTTCGTGAATGGGTTTGGGTCTGATGGACCCAGGCACAGAAAGACCTTCTCAATGGGTAGAATGTGTGAATGGGTTAGTGCCTTGGGTTTGGGTCCTGGAACCCCTGCTTCCAATTCACACGTATTCCTGAACCTCACTTGATGTGAATGATGATCTCTCAGGTTAATGCATTTCAAGAGTTTGTTTGAAGGATGAACTTCAGATAAAAATGTGAAATTTATATTACATTAGTTTATTAATGCATGTGGCACTTTCCATAGAAAACGATGTTCAAAGTAGCTTGTAATTCAGACACAACAGGCATACAACACAGCAATCAATGTGTTACTGTTAAACATTTCCGTGCCAAAATACTACTATCAATCCAACCCTATTTCAAAACAGCAATAACGAAAATTAATACTAGTGTCACCTAAAACATAAATGCAGCCAGGCAGCTGAGAAATATTAACAAGCAGATAAATAGCACCTTGTTAATACTCTGCCAGCCTAGAGACCCAAACAGATGCCATAAAGCACATGCATCCAGCTCCCTGTTTGCAATGAAGAGCAACATAGCTTGTGCCAAGCCCGCCAACTCAGAGCTCTCATAAGAGCATCAGAAAAGCCCTGCTGAGGCAGACCGAAGGTCTGTCCAGTCCAGCACTCCAGGCACATGCTAGCAAACCACTCGCTCACAGGATCCCTCGAGGAGGAACTGAAGGGCAGTTCCTGCACAAGCTCCTCAGCAACATGTGCATGCAGGCAAGCCACCCCTGCTAAGGGAGGGAGCACATGGCCGGCAAGGCTAGCAGCCACTGATAGCCTCCCGAATCTTTCCAATCCTTTTTAAAGCCATCCAGATTGGTGCCCGTCACCACTTCCCATGACCGCAACTTCCATAGTTTAACTATACGCTGTATGAAGAAGTTCTTTTTATCTGTCCTCTCAACAAGGTGGCTAGTCGGAGTCACGGGGGCAGTGGGTGTGGACTTGGGTGTACTCTGAGGGAGGGTGGAGGACAGGAGAGCCTGGAGGAATGTTGTCCAGGGGGTCGCAATGGGTCGGACACGACTTTGCGACTAAACAGCAAACCTCCCAACAGTCAGCTTCATGGGATGACCCTGGGTTCAAGTGTTATGGAAGAGGGAGAAGAATGCCTCCCTCTCTAATTTGTCCACACTGTGCATTATTTTAAACGCCTCTATTATGTCTCCCCTTCCTCACCATTTTTCTAAGCTGAACGGTCCCAATTGTCACAGCGGTTCCTCAGAAGGGAATTGCTCCAGGCCCTTGATCATTTTCGCTGCCCTTCTCTGTACTTTTTCCAGCTCCTCTGTTAGGTACCTTTGTGTGTCACATCGCAGTGGCAGGTCAAAATCATCTGTAGAACTGTTTATGCTTTGCCTCTCCTGAACATTAAAAGATCAAGGAGCAGGGCTGAAAATCTGAAAATTAACCTTGAGTGACTCAATCTGTTCATATTATGGCAGGAAGAGAAGAGGCGGCTGAAGGAAGAAATTGAAAGGAGAAGGGCAGAAGCAGCTGAGAAACGACAGAAGATGCCAGAGGAGGCCCTGGCTGATGAGAAGAAACCATTTAAATGCTTCACCCCGAAGGGTTCCTCTCTCAAGGTAAAGCTCCCTGGTGTGGGCAGTTGGTGCCATATGGGCTGCATCCAGCCCATAAAGGAATTCCATCTAGAATTTTATCCAGTGGGCCATGCCATTTTAATCAAGGAGCAATACAGATCCACTCCTATTTCACTTCAAAAGTATTTGTAATTCTCAGTAATATTACTAATATTACATAAAATGTCTAACTACTGTACTGAAAACAGCAAAACAGGCTCTGTCTGCAGGTTTTCGTCAGTATCGTGTTTTGTTTGGTTTTTGTGTGGAAAGTCCTGGTCGTATCTACATGCAGAGCTGTGCTCCCGAGCCACTGCGCAGATGCCCTGATGGAAAACAAGGGCTGCCTCCCAGATTCATGGTGCAGCTCTGAACGACGCAGGAGCCGTTCCGGCAGGCAGGCAGGCTACTCCATCCATAAACCGCACTGCAATATATGCTTCTTAGCGCCCAAACCACCACCTAGCCAGAACGGCTGTGGAAGATGCAGCAGTGCCGTTACGCGTGCAAGCTGTGATCCTTCCAAGATGCCCATTTGAAGTTCAGCAGGGGAGCACATGCTCTGCGTGCCGAAGGTCCCCATTCAGTATGTGGCATCTCTGCCAATGAGGACCAAGGAGCAGGTGAGGAGAAGGGCCTCCCCCTGTATCCCTAAACAGCCAGGACTGGTCAGGCTCAACGATAAAAAGGCAGATTGAGGATGGGGCTCCTCTAGCACTCCAGAGATCCCTGAACTTCTTTGGCTTCAGCCACCGTGGCCAATGTTCAGGGATGATGGAAGCTGTCGAGGGCCAAAGTCCTCTGGCCCTGCACTTGTTGGAAAAAATGGTCTGAGGAGCCGTAAGACCGTTTGCGGTGACTCCCTACAAATGGTGCTCCTCCTAGGCCTTGCAAAGGGCTTTTGAAGGGCAGGTGTAGGCCATGGCCTCTGTCGGTTCCTTGCCCTGCCTTCCTTCCCCGTCTCTATTCTTAACCATATTCACATCTGGTGTTGACTTTTGGCTTCCTCAAAAATGTTGTGTTGGATCCAGCTTTATCTCTACTCAGAGTAGTCCTGCTGAAACGAATGGGAACACATAAGTTGTGCCTAAGTCTCATTGATTACATAGGTTTATTCTTAGGCATGTAGAATCGGGATTGAACCCACTGGGTGTAAATCAGCTGCTGTGTGATTTTGCTTGGGTGGATTCAGTGCTTAAAAGCTTCCCAAAAGCAGATTCCTCTGTATCGCATGGTGTGCATGTTGCTTACAATTAAATTAAGGCTTTGTGTGTGTCATGCAGAACCATTACAGTCAATGGGCGCTTTGCCATTCATGTTAATGGGCCATGGACAAACTGCACATTGGCATTTTATGCTGAATAGGATGTAGAGAAAAATAATTTTTAAAAAAGCTAACACAGCCTATGCTTGGAGTTTTACCTCCTAATTTAAGGAGGGTGTAAGGATCTCTGCTACAGGCATTAACCACCCTGCTTTCCATCTCATTTTACAGATCTATTTTGTCATTCTGTTTACCGTACGTGCCTTGACATTTCAAAGCATGAGCATGTTGTGCTGGGTTTGTGTGGTGACCTCTTTTTCCAAGTCTTGTGGATAATTTTGTGCTGGGTCTGATACATGCATTTAAATGCCCTTTCTATTGTTTGCTGTAGGCAAACCATCACCCCTTTTAAAAATTGAATCCTTTAGTTATTAATTCGATAAGATTTTTTTAACCTGCTCTTCAGGTGACAAATTTAAACCAGGAACAATGCTGATGAATTAAAACAGGATAAAAATACTAATATAATACAAACAGCATAAAACACCACCAGCAGAAAAGATATGCATTAGATCAAGGCCTTATGGGAAAAGTCTACAGTCCAAAAGTCCTGGACAAACAAAAATATCTTTAACTGGTGCTCAAAAGACAAAAGAGTTGGCATCAGGTAAGCTCCCCCTGGGGAAAGCATTCTGAACGTAGGGTGCCACCCCTGAGAAGGCCAGGGTAGGCCACTCCCTGCCTCTTTGAAAGCAGGTTCCCCTTAGGAGAAGATCTTCTAGTGAGCTCCATCTGCACTGATAATCTGATGTATGTTACACTTTGAATTGCTGTAAATTCTCTATGTGGCTTGCCATTGTTACCATGGCTGCATCTTCCTGCCTGCTAAACCCTCTTCAGGAGGTATGTCCTCCTTTGTCCCCTTGGCGTGACCTGAGGGATTGTGGGATTTTCAGATCTGAGGTCAGAGACTGTGCTGTGACCCTGGGATGGGGGAGCCACCCCATCTCCCCTGCCCGCTTGCAGGCAACGAACTGTACCAGCCGCTCTCTGAGGAAAGCGCTGCTTTCCATGATTCTCCCTCCAAGCACTGTAAGTCTTGCCAGCGTTTCTTTGCTCAATGGTCTTTATTGTGGCATTTGACTCTCTGAGCATACACAGAGGGTTGAACCTTTTCTACCATTCATTCCCTGAAGCACTCTTTATGAGCTCTTCTGAGTCTCAACCTCGGAGGTGGCACGCTGCGAAAACGGGGACACCTCCACTCCTCCCATTATGCACCTAATAGGGCTTCCCTCCAGTGATGACAAGTGACCGGGTCTATCGCTTTTGGTGGGGGGCGTCTCCATCGGATAAACTTCCCATTTCGATATCTCCTCCCTCATCCTGTGAGTCCTCAATCTTCCCATGGACAGGTTGACTGATCTCCCTGCCTGCCCTTGGGCTTATCTTCCCCTCGGTTTCCTCCTGTTGGGTCTTAGGACCTCAAACCAAAACTGCAGTCCACGACATTTCAAAAGCAGTCCCATACCTGAAATTGGAATCTGAATCAACATGGCCAGTGAAGTTTGACAGGATGCATGTGAATGACAGAAACAATAATAATAATAATAATAATAATAATAATAATAATAATAATAATAATAATTAGAACATTTCTGTGCTCTAATAATAATGGGATAGACAGGGGAGGAGCCTGGGAAGGCAGGTAAGAGACATCCTGGCACCTCTCCAGCTTCTTCGTCCCCCCTCCAAAAGTCTCTTGCTAGGCAGCTGAAAACGCCCATCCAGGAAACTGCAGACGGGGCGGCAGAGATCGCTTCTGCCAGTCCTCTGGCTCTGCACCAGATGAGCATGAGCCTCCAGCTTCAGGGGCTTCCACTCCTCTTCACGGGATTGCACCCTTCACGGAGAAAGAGCAAGAGCTGCGCTCTGCCCGCTCAGTCTAATTGTCCCTCCAGGGCGGCCCGCCGTGGCTGGCAGATCGCTGAGGCCTTTGCTACCAGCAATGGCAGCCACAAAGTTCTCCACGCAAAGCAGGTGAGCCGTAATTCCCCCCTTCATCTTGCTGAATCCCCAGATGGATGAACAAAATATGCCCTCCATGTGCACCTTATGCATGTGCTCTGCGGGCGGTTGCTTTCGGCTGCATTTTTGTTGCACTTTTCAGTCAATGCTTCTCCCACAAAGTGGCTCGTGTTAATAAAAAGGAGACAGTCTCTGCCATCCAGCCTGCAAACTAAAACAACAAGGAAAGGGGAATGGAGGGAGAAGAAGACGGGGAGATCATGTTTTAGGGCAGGCATTTAAATGCTCTTTGGTCCAAGGTAATAGTTGCTTGTGGGTGTTCTTGCCTGAATGGGGACTCTTCCTGCTTAGGTCCGTGGGTTGGTCCAGGGAGTTCTTTCCCCTTCCCTCTGCAGCCCCAGGGCAAGTGCCAATTAAAACTAGTGCTTTTCTTAGAAGCAAAGGGAACACGAGTTCCATGCAGCTATTTCTACATCCAATAGACAACCCTTAGCTTGATGTTGCCATTATTTCATTTCTGCACCGCCCAATAACCAAAGCTCTCTGGGCAGTTTGCATCCATTCATTCACAAGGGAAGCCCCAGCCTTAGGTGACTAGATAACACCTAAGCAGAGATGTCATGGATAGGACATTCTGGAGAGCTTTCATCCATAAGGGCACCCTAAGTCAGAGACAACTTGACGGCACACGACAACAAAATGTACATATTGCTAAAAAAAACTAGACATAGTTTAGGAGTAAGCAATTTTTTGTGGGAAAATGCATTTGCATTCAAGGTAGAGAACAGGGGCATTCTCGCAATTTGCAAAACGACTTTCTTGTTCATCCCTTACGCACTGTAAGGCATTTCATGCTGCCATATTGTGCTACCACCTTGTGGCTGTGGAAGCCAGTGCTCGAGTCTGCTTTTGTTGGCTTGATAGCTGTTCAGCCTAGTTTATAGACTTGAGAATTCTGCAATCACAACATTCTAATTCATGCAATAGTTCATGTAAGCAGATTACATGATGCTAATGAAAACATCACTTGCCCTTTCCCCTCTTGACTTGTTTGCTGGCCAGGGATTCAGGATTGCTTTTAAACCAGTTCCCTCTTACATCCAAAATGGGAATTCATAGTTTTATGTGTATTTACTAATGGGGATATTAAGTCAGTCAGTTGAGGTGATGGGCTTGGCTTCTGGGGCTGGAACTTCTTGGGAGCAGTACCATGCAGTGAGTAAGCAGGATCATTCCAGTTCTTGGTTCTTTTAAATACGCACCTTTGGAACGGAACAGCTCTTTTAGAAGTCAGTGGGGATCAGCTAGCTTAAACAAGAGCAACTTTGACTAGGCCCTGAGCGGCTTGCGGGTTGGACTGCTGTCTCAGTTTGGCAAATGTACGGTTGTCTATGTCCCCAATTTGGCTGTGCTGGTTACTCTCCAAGGAGTGGCTGCTTCATAAGGTGCTTTACGGGAGAGTCCATAATACAGGCTGCTGAAAACATGTCTTTCTCAGAAGCCCACTCACAGCTGAATATCCATCATCACAACCCAAAGCTGACCAGGCTGCTGGGCTGAAAGGCCTGCTGTAGGTAGCAGTGGGCCTTCTGCAAGGCTGCCCACCTGCTTTGGACGCACTGGCCACCTGCAGCTCAGGGATCTGACCCCTCCCCCTAGATCTGCTGCCCTTTTGGTTGCAGGCAGAGGCCTTTTTTATTTCCCCAAATATTTAGATGCCCTTTGAATCCTGCTGGCTGTTTTTGCTGCTTGTTTTAGTTTTGTATGCAAATGTTGATCACTAGAAACAAGTGAACATTATAACATATTTGTAATTAATGGAGAAGCAAGCAAAATGTTAGCCATTCTCCAAATTGTGTGTGTGTGTGTGGGTGCATTTCAAAGAGGACCTGTAATGAACTGAAGACCTTTTCTTGAAGACGGTTCTTAAGTCTGGAAATGACCACCTGGCCTAGAAGCTCTCCTTGCTTTTTGACTCAGGTGCTTCCAGAAAAGGCTTTGATACCTTCCTACATCATTCATGGGATTTTACAGGGATGATGGCACCTTCCGCTTTCTGTTTGGAGTGCTGAGAGTCCTCTGTCTGGAGGAATCCTTGGAGTAGATCTTATTGGAGATTGTGGCTGCAGCACTGCCTGGATTGGATCTAGGAGCTGCCTTACTCCCAGGAAAGGGAGGGCTTCACTTTCCCAGTTTTGAGGGCTCCCCGCTCACACCATCGCTCACCCCATTCAGGAGGATCTCTTGATCTCTGGGTAGCAGTTGGAGGAAGCCAGAGCAACTGTTATGGGGAAGTCTGTCCCTGCCGGCAGAGTCCATCCAGCTAAAATCTGGATCAATCCCCATACCTGTCCTTTGGCCCCCAGTAACCTGTAGTAAATCTACAGGACATGTGGCTGCCACTGAAGGGTGAGGAGGGGATGCACACGAGACGGTAACACTTGGGTCACTGAATATTCCTGAAGGGAGAAGAGGAAGGGGCGTCCGGCCGCTTGGCTGCTGTGACATCAAGCTTCGGACTGTGGCTCTGGCCAGCTGTTGCAGCATCTCTGTGCTGCCTCCGTCTCCCCACTGTTAAGGCAGCTAATTCATTCCGCCTCTGCCGTTCTGTGATCGCAGAACAGCAGAATCCAGAGGAAGCCCTGACTGCAGGTGACTTCCCTGCAGGCTGCAGCCCAGTGCCTTCCCTCGAGGTGATGTTATTGTGTTACCTGCTGCACATTCACATGCCATTTCAGTCCCTTCTCAACCAGCCTTTCTCGCTTTTTTATACCCGTACTTCTTTCTTGCTTCCCTCTTTGTTTTGTTTTTTTTATTTCTAGATTGAAGAACGTGCAGAGTTCTTGAACAAATCTGCCCAGAAGAGGTAAGTATCCCTTGCTTTGCAATCAAGATCACTGATGGGATTCGGAGTCCAGGGGCAGGAATTAATGGACCTCCATCTTTGCATATTTTTGGCACAGTGGCGTGAAACCCACCCACACAACCCAGGTGGTCTCCAAGATAGACAGCAGGCTGGAGCAGTACACCAGCGCCATTGAGGTGAGACCACGGCGACCCTCGCGGTGCTTGGGCCAGAAGCCGCAGGAATAGGCATGGTTCTTGCCCATAGTGGCCAGCTAAGGCCCCATTCATCTGTAAGGCCACTGTTTATGGTAATGATGGCTTGCTGCTTGAGTCACGAATTGTCTTGCAGACAGCAAATGGCGCACATGAGCTAGGGAGGCTGTGGGCTGCCCCACACGAGGCATTCAGGATGCAGCTGGACAGCCCTCTGTCATGACTGCTTTAACTTGGAGCCCCGCGTTGAGTAGGGGGTCAACTCGACAGCTGCTTGTCCCCTCCAACGTGCTGCTTTATGGTTCTGTGCAAGAACGTGCAGTTGGTTTTCCCTTCCGCTGCTTTGTGTCCTTCCTGCCTGGCTTGCCGTCCTTTGCAGTGGATGCAGAGCAGCCTGGGTGGGGTTGTGCCCCAGCTCTCCCCAGAACCACGAGGGGCCCCGCAGGTGCGGAGGGGATGAGGCGCGGAGGGGATGAGGCGCAGAGGGATGCTGCAGTGAGGAGGGAGACAGGCAGGAATGGGAAGTTCTTGAGGGTGAAGGGGCCCATCTCCGCCTGGTGAGATTTCAGGGGCTCTCCCGTAACGTCCTCTCCGGTATCTGCCCTGAGACTGACCAACTCCTTCCTACAGGGCAACAAAGCTGCCAAGCCCGCCAAGCCCGCGGCCTCGGACCTCTTGGTTCCTGCCGAAGGCGTTCGTAATATCAAGAGCATGTGGGAGAAAGGCAATGTCTTCTCATCGCCGTCCGGCACAGGAACGCCCAACAAGGTGCGTCTTCTGCTTCTACTTCTTGGTGTTCCTGCTCCATCTCCGAAGAGCAGCCCCTACAAGGGCAGGAAGAATGTTTAGCTGCACTTTTGCAGGGCTTGGGTGGCAAAATGTGGTGAAAACCTGCCAGGAGTGGAAGGGCTGTACCATTTAGCCTTCTAGGCTAGAACTTTTGGGGTGAGCTGCTCTTTATGAGTTGGTCTTTTGGGGAGACGTAGGTCACAGGCTGCTCCTTTCCCAAAGGCACAAAACTAGATGCTTATGCAGCAAGGGGCGGGATTCTGGGGGTGGCATTCTAGTGGGGGGCAGGACAAAAGAAAGGGGGCAGGGGAAATAGCAGCACATTTTGGCTTAAAGTTTTTGCTGCTAAAACTCAGCTGTAGGTGAGGCCTTTCACCACCCCAGTTGTAATGCTTTGGAGTCTGTACTCTGCAACTGATAATTACCTGTAAAATAATGTCTTTCAGGAGACTGCTGGGTTAAAAGTCGGCGTCTCCAGTCGTATTAACGAATGGTTAACCAAGACCCCAGAAAACAGCAAGGCGCCCGCTCCAAAGCCATCCGTGAGTATTTGCTTCTCTCCTTTCCTCAGGTTCCTCCTTTGATTTGCAGGAGTAGCAAGGTATGGATAACAGACCCCAGAAACACATCCAAATAAGGACGCTGGTGCTGTTTTAAGTGGGCATTGTCCACTTCAGATTCTGGGACAGCCCTCTGCAGATGAGAAGTCTGCAGTGCCTCGTCACCTCCTCTTTGTCGGAGGCCCTGGCAGCTCCTTCTCCTCAGTGCTATCCCCACTTGCTAGTGCCGAAAATTTCAGGTGAGCGTGTGGGCCCCACCTGGTGCTGGATATGGCTGGAGCAGGCAAGGAACCAGCAGAAATGTGGATCTCATTATAGGGAAGGAAGGCTGATGCATTTAACCAACCAAGAGCCAGAAATCCTAATACTGGACTCTGCATTTGGAAGCAGATTCTCTCTGGAGCAAGTGCAGAATCCTCAGCAGCCCTCAGGCCCTGCTTGCTAGTTTCTTGAATGCAAGATTGGGCAACTCTGGGGGTGCTGGGGACCATTTTGCCTCCTGAACACACTCCCTGGAGAGCAGCACTCTGTGGGATGCCATAAAATTGCAGAGAACATGCTGCTTGTATTTGGCAGCATCTAGCTACACAGCGATAAGCGGATCAAGTGTGGATTTGGGAGCAAGCTAGAGGTGACCCTTTCAGAGCTTTGCTGTGCTAAAAGGGGCAGGTTTTCCCCCCCACCCTGCAGATGTGGTGGCTCTGGCTGGCTGTGGTTAAGCGGTCTGCCGAGCAAAACAGACTTCTGGCTTGTTGCAGCTCTGCTGGGTCTCCATCCTTTCCCATCTCCCTTTGATTCTTAATAAGGCCTGTCATAATGGAACCTTTTAACCATATTGTGGAGTCCCTCCTAGAAGTACGTTGGGGCTAATCTGACCTTTCCCTCAACCTTCCCTTTTCTTCCTTTCTTTTTTTCTCAGTTGATTCTTCTCTCCTTTCTTTCTTTCGCTGCCATCTTCTTGGCGAGAGGCCTGTACAGACAGCTGCTCTTCTGTTCTTCTCTAGGACTGGCTGTTTTCTGTTAAAACTGGTCAGGTAAATCTGTTTACAGGCTTCTCTTGCTAAGTTGCAAAACTGTGACCCTCACCCTACTTGCCGTTCATGCAAGGTCCCAGTGGAGCAGTCAAGAAGTAAGTGGTGACAGGCTCACATCTCTTAATGTATTCTTTGTTTAACCTGGTGCATTATAGAGGTAGTTTCTTCTGCTTTCTTTCCAGGGAAAAGCATCTGTCATTCACCCCAGGTTTGTAGATTTCCCAAGGGGTTTTCCTCTCTGCTTCTCTATACACAACCACAAGGTGGTTTTGAGGTCTAGCACAGAGTTGCACATTTACACTAGGATTCTGTATCCTAGTGTCTGTATCCTAGAAAATGCTGCATTTTCGTCACTCCAAAAAAAAAAAAAAAAAAAAAAAAAAACTGAAAATGGCTGGGAAACACAGAAAGTGTTTGCAAGTCCTCTGCATGATTTAGAGGGCTTGCAAACTCCCATGAGTCAAGGAGCACTGGGTGCATAATAAATGTGTTATGCAGAGAAGCCCTGTATGTGAATTTACTCTTAAGATATAGAAATAACATATATCTTAGCTCGTTGTTCCTCTCTTTCCTTTTTCAAATTTCTTGATGTTTGTCTGTTTGGAATAGGACTTAAGACCTGGAGATGTATCCAGCAAGCGCAACCTGTGGGAGAAGCAGTCAGTTGAAAAGACCAGTTCTTCCTCAAAGGTAACAGAAACCCAAGAGCTATTTTTATCACCTGACTTTAATCCATTCTGCACATCTCTGTTCTGTCTAAAGTCTGTTGAGAGCTAAGCTACTACTAGGTAACCATATAAAAATTGCAGTGCTCTGACTTTTAAATTTTTGCAACTCTCTTGTGATTCAGGTAACAACAGTGGGGAAAAAGTCAGAGACCAATGGTAAGTGGAACGGAATATATTGTCATTCACGACCAGGTACGCATGCGCCTTCCCCAGCGTCCCTGATTGGAGAAGCAGATCACAATACTGGTGGTCTGGGGGAGGTAGCGCTTGTGGCAAGGCAGAGCTCACAACTGCAGAACAGTGTGAATGAGAGGGTAGCATCCTTCCTTAAACTAGTCGCCCTCAAACCCAGGATCCTTTCTCTGATGCTGGATGGAGGTGCATAGTCCAGCTGGAGACCACCATGCTGTATTCCCTCTGCACTTTCAAGCACTCTGAAGCAGAGATGTTGAACCTCGTTCCACCTGAAAGCCAAATTCCACCTCAGAGCTGCTCTAGAGGGCCACATCCAGTAGTGAAGGCAAAAGATGCAGGAGCAAAAAGAAAAATTAACCTGCCAGCAAAGTTTGGCTTAATGTTCTTGCATGAACTGCTTATTGGGTGAGGCATTTCAACCTTTCAGGATGGGAAAACCATGCAGACCTGGGAAGCCCTCGAGTGGCTGGTGGTTGGGCAAAAGGGGTGGGGCTGAGGGAAGCGAGTGTGGCTTTCTGGTGGACCCTGCAAGGCCAGTTTGGGCTCACTGGTGTCCGGACCACTGCTTAAACCGGAAGCATGAAGAATGCCACATCTCTTGACCATCTTTGCACGGGTCCCCGAGTCCTTCATAATGAAACTCCCACAGAGATCTCCAAAGGGCTTGGAACTCCCAATAGCATGCCACCTCCTTGCTCTCGCTGCTGCCTGCAGAAGCATCTGTCTCTCTCCCTCAGTCTCTCTGATGTGATCCACCTCCTCCTTCCCTCTTCATCACTCCACAACACATCCTCACCTGGCTGTATGGTATTTCTCTGCTAGCTTCCTTCCTGCCTGTGCCACAGAAGCCACTGGCACACCTTCTTCAGCTTGCGCCTCCTCTTGTAGCCATCGCAGTTGAATAGGGTCATGAAGGTGAAAAGGCCAAGACTGCCATGCAGTTTGCCTTACGTAGGTGTGATCTTGGCTGATAGGGGCTGCGAGCTGTAGGTTGCAAACAGCAGCTGAATGCCTTTGCTTGCACAATTGTGTTCCTCTGGTCTCCAGAACTCCCTGATAGTCTTCTTCTAATGTTGAATTGGATTGTAGTCCTGTTACCATCTTACTTGGGAGTAAACCCATTAAATTCAGTAGGACTTCTGAGCATAGCGAATTAGCAATGTGTTGTCTATTCCATACTGTCTGTGGTTTTAAAAATGTTAAGTATTTCATGATGTCTCCTCCCATGTAAAAAACCTGGCCCAACCCAAGGCCAGCTCATCCATATTTCCTCCTCTTCAGTCTTTTTCCACAGTATTGGCTGCCATTCGACAAGCCAGCTGTAGCCACGGGTGCGATGCTTACTCAGTGTTATGAGTGAGTTGGTGCAGTCTGAGCAGAAAGAAGCCATATGGATGACGGCTGTTGCTTTGGTGGCTTTAGAAACCAGAGCAGAGCTGTTGAGCTTCAAGTCTGTGGGATGACCACACCTCCTTCCCCCAGCTGCCTATTTTCTGGGGTTTGCTGGCCTTTGCATTCCCCCCCCCCCCCCCGTTGAAACGCCTCTCCTGAACCTTAGTTCCTGGCAGGCAGCACTTTAAGCTAAAATATGCTGAGGTTTTCAAGGTTTGCTCCTTCCCCTTTGGGTTCCGTTTTTGCCTTCAGACCTGCTGACCAGAACACCCCAACCCCCCTTGCACCCTGCTTCTCTGAATACAATTCACCCCCTTCCTCCCACCACCACCAGGCCAAGAGAGATTTGCAATGCCTGAACTGGAGTATGCCTGATTTATTAGGTGTTCCTATTTCACCGCTCAGTCATAAATGAGCAGGGAAACCATGCCTTGGAAATTATTTGAGGTACATGGATATGGGTTGACTGGAACGCATTGGAAATCCCTTCTGAGAGAGCAGGTAAAAAGCATTGCTTGAAGGTGTCTGGGACATCTGGTTTTCACCCAGAAGTTGCCGATTCAGCATTGCAACCCTAAAACTGCCAATTCCTCCATCATCCAGGATGTCCCGGCTATGCCAGTAGTCCTACAGGGATGACATGTCTTGTGATTCTAAGCAATCTTTAACTCCCTTTTTCTTTCAGCAGGTTTGAGAGAATTCGAAAAGGAACACTAAGGAAGCCACTAAAGATGTTGAACCAACTCGGTTTTAAAAACGGAAGTGCTAAATTTGCCCCTTTCTTTTTATATATATTTATATTTGTTTACCAAAAGGCCTTTTTTTGGGTTGGGTTATTTTTTTTTTCTGTTGCATTATCCCAGTTTTAAAGAACCATGTATATTAGCACTGTATTTAATAACCAGTCTTGAGACATTCATTGTAATAGTAGTGCCTTTGAACAAGAGCCATGCTGTGAAATAGAGACACTTCTACTGATTAGTTCTAACGAAATGGTGTGTCTGAAGAAACCATTTTCAGCACACCGGAGCAGCATTTGTGCCTTACAGACTAGGTCATTCAAAACAAAACATCCAGGGTGGGGGGGGGGGGGTTAAAAGGGAGAAGTATAGCAACCTCTTTGCCACTGTTTGCTTACTGAACCTAGGAAAGTTTGGCAAGCCCCTGGTGAATTCCCCGAGTGGATTCTCTCCCCTGCAGAGCACAGGGACAGCATCATGTTAGGAATGTTACTTTTGGCACCCAGCGTCAAGACCTTCAAGGAAGAGGCATGCTCCTGCTCTCTGGTCCACACCACCATTTTTTCACGAGTGCAGAGGGTACACCATGAGGATGTCCTGCAAGGATGCCCACCTCTCGGTCACTTCTCTGAGGGGGAGGGCACTGCGCAAGTGACTGGGGCATCACGTCCGGTCATGGCACCCTCTTTATGCTTGGGGTCGTGCCCTTGGCGGAGGTGAGTGGAGCAAGAGCCTTCTCCACTCCACAGAAAGGCTTGTCACTAGGCAGAACGTGGGAAACGGGGCTCAAAGGATCCCTCTAAAGACCTTTCACACCTATGGGAGATGCCCTGTGTGGAATGGGATCCAACACTCATTCATTCTTTCTGCACTTTCGATTGAAGCATGGAAGAAATGCCTTTAGGCTGCAGTCTTATGCCCACTAACCTGGGGCTTCTCAGGGGCTTCTTTGCACGAGGCCATTATCGTGTGATCACAAGGACCCACGGAAATTGGCAGGGGCTTCACATGGAAACATTCTCCTCCAGGGGCTCCCCTGTGTTTACCGGCCATTTTGTGGGGTGGGGGTTAGAGTGAGGAAAGTCGAGGCTGGATTTCTTATCTCAGGATAAAATGGTATGAGAAGCCCATGTAGTTTTGCATTTCTGCTGTTTCATAGCTATACCACAGCACCACCTTGTGGTTGTGTAATGGAATGCCTAGAAAGGCCGAGAGAAAAAATGCAAAGGCCTTACTCTTAATCCAGCAAAACAAAAAATGGAAGTAGAAGCCTCCATAAAGTGGTAGCTTAAAAACCTCATGGAGAGAAGCCCTTACTTTTGAGTAGACCTATATAGGATGGCACTGTTAGTTGACTGTTCCTCCCCCATTTTTGCCCGTGTCAAATTTGCATCCAAAAGGTGAAAACTGTTTTGTAGTTTTAAGTATCTTTTTTAAAAAATCCTATTTAGTTTAAGTTAATAACCTAAATTTGGACGATTGCGGTTGACGGTGGTACTGATAACTTCTCTCTCTCTCTCTTTGTTAGCTGCAGTTTTAGATTATATACCTATAGCTTTGCAAAGCTTAGCTGTATGGCACTGTTAATGGTAGAAGCGTTTTAATACCTGCTAGAGTACTGTATTTAGTTTTTAAAAAGTCATAACTAGCCAATATCACAACTTTTTTTAAAAAAATACACACTTTTTATATTAAGATTTCATAATTGCCATTTGGCATATGACAAGAGGAGTATTAGATTTTTTTTAAAAAAAGAATCAAAACCCTGTTAATGGGTAATAAAAAGTATAGTTTTAAAGAGGGAGGAAAAGAGGGTATTAAGCGTCAAGCATAAGTCACGTGTATAAACATTGTAGCTAATTTATATAAAACTACCATAATTAACACACACAAGATACACATGCTCATACTCGGTTCCTACCCTACTGCACGCTAATTTTCTGTTTGCATCTCACAGAGTCAGTGTTTTACAAAGGGGAGGGCACAGTCTCAACACTTCTTGGTGTAGCTAAACTCCCGAGCGAGTTGAGAGGGTGGGTTAGCACATCTTCCTGCCCTCTCCCCCTCCTTGGCCGTTTGTGCACTGCCACAGGGGGACCTCTGTGTACATCCCCCACAGCCAGTTCAGCTGTTCCTCTCCTGCTCAGGTCTCAACATACAAGATGCACATGGGATTAAGAACCTGCTGAGTTGGGGGCAGGAGGAAGGGTACCCAAGGCCAATTTTCTCCCCTACGTGTAGCTGCACTGAGGCGCGGGGGTTTGGCTGATGCCCTGATGTATCTGCCGAAGAGCACAATTCAATGCATATGTAAGCAGGGGAAAAGTCCTACAACTGCCAGAGTTGTAGGGCTTTCTTCTCTCTGGACCTGCCTAGCATCATGCCCTGGAAGTTTTCTTCCAGCCGTATCATTTGTATATAGCAACCATAAGGGTTTGAATTTACAGAGCACCCGATGTTCAGCATGTACACCGTATAGTATGCAGGTAGAGTAAAATGGGAATGCCGTTTAGCATTATTTAGGTTTTATAGCCCACCCTCAGATGCCATCGTAGCTCGAGGATGGTTATTCTCGCATTGCTTTCCATTTTTGTGGCATCCCCATTTCTGGTTTTCTGTGAAGAGGATGTGGCCCCTCTCCCAGGGGAGCTTCTCTGCTTTCGCTGAACACCCTTGTTTACATAATGAATTCCACTTGGGCTTTCGGTATAGAGCGAAACCGTGCAGTGAATGACTTTGGATCTGCCTGTTGTTGTTTGGTTTGTATTTTTTTAACACGCACCTTTTACATCCGAGTTCCTGCAATAAACCAGTATGCTGAATTTGCAATTCACAATAAATGGACTTTGTCTACCAGATCAGCACTCCTTCTTTTTAAAAAAGTGTGTGTGTGTGTGGGGGGGGGGACAGGGACAAAAAAGATCAAAGTTCTGAGAGGACCTGACCTAGTGCATGGCATTCACACAATAGTCTGGCTCATGGTCACAGTTCCACACTCATTAAAGGGCTGACGTAAACATTAACCAGATAACTCTCTTTCTGTGGAGTAGTGCCTCTTTGGGTTCCACAAGGGGTGGAACTTATCCTTTAAGCGGTGTGACCAAGAGTGCCGAGTGATTGACACAACTGGTCAAGTGACTTTGCACTGCCCACACAGGGCCACTGGGGGGCACCTGAAGCTGGAGACACACCTGTTTTCCAGTTCCACCTGGATGGCTTTGTGTGGCATGGGCTGCCCCACAGGGAAACGGCACACGCTGTCTGCAACCAAGAACTCTGGCACACTCGTGCAGGTGGTCCGGAAGTAGCTTGCAGTGAAGCAGACTGAAATGCTGCCGCATTTGCAGCGGTGCCACGTGGTTCTGGCCCACGGCCAGGTGCGCACATTCAGCCCTTCGTCCAATTCTTTGGCTTGCCATTCTGTACAGGACTGAACTGTGAGAGGCCAGGAGGCAGTGGCAAAAATCCAGCCCCCTCCAGTGGCAGTGTGACAGCACATTTGTCCCTCCTTGACCCAAAGGACAAGTCTTGGTGACAGGCGGGCAGCATGCCGTGAACGTGTGGAGAGGCTTTCAGTGGGGCGCTGCGGGTGCCCCAAAGACACGTCACTCGGTTTGAACCAAAGGGGGCTTTTGTCTCACTGGCAGGGAGCACCATCCGTTTGCCAAGCCCAGTTCTCAACTGAATGGAAGGTAGGTCCCCCCGGCACTAGTACTGTGTCAGCTGGTCCCGGGTACTGTACCCGCCACTCTGCATCTCTTGTGCCCGTGTCTCTAGCCCAGTGGACTCTCCAGCATCTTTGGCAAGGCTGGCATTTTCCACAAAGAAACTGGGGAGGCCTGAAACACAACCCACTGGCAACTGCACACATGCATGGTGCTCACCAACATGCCCCAGCATCCACAGCACTGCCACGTCCTTCTCACTAACAGGCCACCTCTTTAGGAGCTGCTGGTTCTGTGCATATTGCGGGTCTACCAAATCTACCATTTCAGCCACTACTAAATTCACAAGAGAAGCACTTTAATCAGTTGTGTAATTTTTAAGCAGCGAGCACAATTTAACTAACCACTGTGGCACTGCTGTTCTGCAGAGAAGATGGGAATGTTTTTCAAAGTTCCCCACTTCCACAGTTTTTGTAGCTTTTTGCCTTCTGTTGGGCCATTTCTTTATCTGTTTTCCATCTTTGGAAAGGGAAAATGAGACTTAAGGTGTCACAAT